CATGGAAAGGTAAACCCATCAAAATCACAGCAGACTCCTCAACAGAAACATTAAAAGCAAGAAGAGCATGGGTTGTGATCTTCTGGGCACTGAATGAAAATAACTTCAACCCCAGGATACTCTACCAAGCAATGCTATCATTCAAAATAGATGTAGTGATAAAAGTCTTCCATGATAAGCAGAAACTAAAACAGTATGTGACCACAAAGCCACCACTACAAAAGATTCTTCAAGGGATGCTGCACACAGAAAGTGAAACCCAACTTAACCATGAAAAGACACACAGCACCAAACCACAGGAAAAGAAAAAGCAAGAAAGTAGAGAGTAACCTCAACTTAGGTACACACAATCAAACCTTCAAACAACTAAGACAACTAAAAGACAGGAGTCACAACATACCTATCAGTACTAACACTTAATGTTAACAGACTTAATTCACCCATCAAAAGGCACGACTTGATGAAATGGTTTAAAAAGGAAGATCCAACAATTTGTTCCTTACAAGAGACCCATCTCACTGACAGAAATAAGCATAGGCTTAGGGTGAAAGGCTGGAAGAAGATTTACCAAGCCAATGGCCCCTGAAATCAGGCAGGAGTAGCAATAAGTATCGGACAAAGTAGACTTCAAACCTACATTGATCAAACGAGATAAAGAAGGACATTCCATATTAATAGAAGGTGAAATAGGCCAAAAGGAAATAATAATTATCAACCTGTATGCACCCAATGTCAACGCACCCAATTTCATCAAACATACCATGAAAGACTAAAAGCATATATTAATGCCAATACAGTGGTTGTGGGAGAATTTAACATCCCATTATCATTAATAGATAGGTCATCCAAACAAAAAATCAATAAAGAAATCCAAGATCTAAAATGTACAATAGGTGAAATGGAACTACTTGATGTATACAGAAAAATTTCATCCAAGTTCTACACAATATACATTCTTCTCAGCAGCCCATGGAACCTTCTCCAAAATAGATCATATCCTAGGGCACAAAGCAAGCCTCAGCAACTTTAAGAAAATAGAAATTATACCGTGCATACTATCTGATCACAATGCAGTAAAAGTAGAACTCAACAACAAAAGTAAAGACACAAAACATGCAAACAGCTGGAAATTAATAACTCATTACTTAATGAACAATGGATCATTGATGAAATAAAAGTGGCAATTAAAAGTTCCTGGAAGTCAATGAAAATGAAAACAGAACATTCTGGATCCTATGGAAAACAGCAAAGGCAGTCCTGAGAGGAAAGTTTATAGCCATGAGTGCATATATTAAAAAGACTGAAAGATCCCAAGTCAATGACCTAATAATACATCTCAAACTCCTAGAAAAACAAGAACAAGCAAATCCCAAAACAAATAGAAGGAGAGAAAATAATATAAATAAGAGCTGAAATCAACAAAATAGAAACCAAAAAAACATACAAAGAAGTAATGAAACAAAAAGTTGGTTCTTTGAAAAAATAAACAAGATCACTAGACCCCAGGCAAACCTGACTAAAATGAGGAGAGAAAAAACCCAAATGAGTAGAATCAGGAATGCAAAAGGGGAGATAACAACAAACACCATGGAAGTCCAGGAAATCATCAGAGATTACTTTGAGAAACTATATTCAAATGAATTTGAAAATCTTATATTTCTAGATACATATGATCATCTAAAACTGAACCAAGAGGAAATTAATCACCTGAATAGACCTATAACACAAAATGAAATTGAAGCAGCAATCCAGGACCTGATGGATTCTCTGCTGAATTCTATCAGACCTTTAAAGAAGAATTGATACCAACCCTCCTTAAACTGTTCCATGAAATAGAAAGGGAAGGAAAACTGCCAAACATATTTTATGAAGCCAGTATTACACTTATCCCAAAACCAGGAAAAGACACATCCAAAAAGGAGAACTATAGGCCAATCTCCTTAATGAATTTTGATGCAAAAATCCTCAACAAAATAATGGCAAACCGAATTCAACAACACATCAAAAAGATTATTCACCACGACCAAGTAGGTTTCATCCCAGGGATGCAGGGGTGGTTCAACATACGAAAATCAATAAATGTAATAAACCACATTAACAGAAGCAAAGATAAAAACCACTTGATCTTCTCAGTAGATGCAGAAAAAAACCTTTGAAAAGATCCAACACCGTTTCATGATAAAAGCTCTAAAAAAACTAGGGATAGAAGGAAAGTACCTCAACATTATAAAAGCTATACATGACAAACCTACAGCCAGCATTATACTTAATGGAGAAAAAACTGAAACCATTCCCTCTAAAATCAGGAACCAGACAAGGATGCCCACTATCTCCACTCCTATTCAACATAGCACTGGAATTCCTAGCCAGAGCAATTAGGCAAAAAGAAGGAATAAAATGAATACAAATAGGTAAAGAAACTGTCAAAATATCCCTATTTTCAGACGACATGATCCTATACCTTAAAGACCCAAAAAATTCTTCTCAGAAGCTTCTAGACATCATCAATAGCTATAGCAAAGTAGCAGGATAGAAAATCAACATAGAAAAATCATTAGCATTTCTATACACTAATAATGAACAAACTGAAAAAGAATATATGAAAACAATTCCATTTACAATAGCCTCAAAAAAATCAAATACCTAGGTATAAACCTAACAAAAGATGTGAATGACCTCTACAAGAAAAATTATAAACTTCTGAAGAAAGAGATTGAGGAAAACTATAAAAAGTGGAGGTCTCCCATGCTCATGGATTGGTAGAATCAACATAGTAAAAATGTCTATATTCCCAAAAGTAATCTACATGTTTAAGCAATTCCCATCAAAATTCCAATGGCATTCCTTAAAGAGATTGAAAAATCTACCATTAAATTTATATGGAAACACAAGAGGCCATGAACAGCCAAGGCAATACTCAGTCAAAAGAACAATGCAGGAGGTATCACGATACCCGACTTCAAACTATATTACAAAGCAATAACAATAAAAACAGCATGGTACTTGCACAAAAACAGACATGAAGACCAGTGGAACAGAATAGAGGACCCAGATATGAAGCCACACAACTATAACCAACTTGTCTTTGACAAAGGAGCTAAAAATATACAATGGAGAAATAGCAGCCTCTTCAACAAAAACTGCTGGGAAAACTGGTTAGCAGTTTGCAAAAAACTGAAACTAGATCCATGTATATCACCCTGTACCAATGTTAACTCAAAATGGATCAAGGATCTTAATATCAGACACCAAACTCTAAAGTTGATACAGGAAAGAGTAGGAAATACTCTGGAGTTAGTAGGTATAGGTAAGAACTTTCTCAACAGAACCCCAGCAGCACAGCAACTAAGAGATAGCATAGATAAGTGGGACCTCATAAAACTAAAAAGCTTCTGTTCATCTCTTGCCATAAAGGAAATGCAAATCAAAACCACACTAAGATTCCACCTCACCTCTGTTAGAATAGCCATCATTAGAAACAACAGGTGTTGGCGAGTATGCGGGGGAAAAAGGAACCCTCTTACATTGTTGGTGGGAATGTAAACTAGTAGGAGGCTACTTAAAAAGCTAAACATTGATCTACTATTTGATCCAGCAATACCACTCTTGGGGATATACCCAAAAGACTGGTGTTGACTTGGCCTCCTAATGGATGAATGTGCTTTCAGCCATCCACTTCCATATTGAAGATTTGCTCTGGCAATGTTTTCCACAATCAATGAGTTTCCAAATATCTTTAGCTGCCTTCACACCAGCACTTGCCAACTCACAACTCAGTTTCACATGTGTAATGAATAAGGATTCTTGAATCAATAAAACCATCCACAGCTAGCAGTAAATTCAGCACTCTAGTCAGGTCCAGACTGCACTTTCTGCTTTGGTCAAAATAGATATAGCCCCGAGAAGGCTATGCCTCTGTAACTTGTCTTCAATTCATATCCTCAAAATTTTCTCTGTACCTAACATAGTTTCTTCTGGGATTTGTGAAAGTTTTGTTGCCTTTGGTGAAGCACATCCTTTAATGGAATCCATTACAATATAAGATGAAATCAAGCACAGGATATGATGCAATGAAGAGACAAGGTATATGCAAGATGTATGAGGATGCTGCTGATCTAACACATCACCCTATTTTAATATTAGAATACATAGAAGGAATGCACTCTAATGATAGAAAGAAAAATGTAGTTGGCACAGTTGTTCATGCCTATAATGTCAGCTACTCAGGAGGTGGAGATTGGGAAGATCATGGTTTGAGGGCAGTGAGGGCAAAAAGATAGTGAGACCCCATTTCAATCCATAAATCAGGAGTGTTGGTGTATGCCTGTGATTCTAGATGCAGAAAATCATAAGTAGGAGGATTGTGGTATGAGTATTGCCCTGCCAATTTGTGAGACTGTACCTGAAAAATACCAAAATGAATAATCAAACTATAGTGTTAGCGCAGCTACCTAACAAGCTCCTTAGAACACTAGGGCTGCAAAAACAAAAAAGCAAAATGTAGTAAATCCATAAACCAGTAACATAGTCACTTATCATCATTACCAAGCACTTTGTAGCATTTTGTATTTTCTATAATTAAAAAGGAATTTCTAATTATTACCAAATATGATCCTGTGAAAGTTTTACGCACATTAATAATATGCAACCTGTGTTCAAGTTTTTTTGCTGTGCATCTTCATCAATTGGTTATTAAGCTGACTAAATTTACACATTTCAGTGGGCAGACAGGGAGGGTCAGGATAACTTGTTACTTAATGTGCTCATGGGGCACCTGAACCACCTGATTCTGCTGTTTATGATATCTAGCACACTGCAGAAGATGAGGTAATTACACATAGTGCCTGATCTATTGATGAGGCACAGAGGGAACAGAGAGAAGTAACCTGTTCCCTGGAGGTCTCTAGCATCTTCTTCACATAGTGGCTCAGAAATCTGTGCTGCTCCCCAAACTAGCAACACATGTGGCAGCTGGGCCACCACAAGCAGGTGGTTTGTGTTTAGGGCTGTATCACTGTGTGAGGCCATTCTACAGCTTGCAAACAGAAATAAACTCCAACATCCTCAACCTCCACTCTGCTGATTTTGAGTGTGAAATCTGTCCCTGAGCCACTGCCACTGAACCTGTCTGGGACTCCAGAGGCCCTGTTGGAACCCTTATAGATCAGGAGCTGTGGAGACTGGCCTGGTCTCTGCAGATACCAATATAAGTAAGTGGTTCCATCACTATGCAGGAGACTCTTACTAGACCTGCAGGAGATGGAAGCTGGCTCTCCAAGAGTGACAGGCAAGGAGAGTGGAGTCTGGGTCATCACAATGTCCCCACTGGATCCTGAAATAATGAGAGACAGGGACAAAGTACTATACAAATATGATGAGCAATTTTCATAATTTTTCTTTTTTATTTATTTCAGGCTATATAATTTTGGGTTATTTACAATTATACACAACAAGCCACAAGAAGTCTCTAGGATTCAACTATGCCGTCCACTTCTTTTCCTATAAGAGTTATTACCAAAAGAATCCTTCTAGAACCTCTTCACTCTCCCAAATCTAAACACCACCTGTCCATCCTTGCACACAAGGTCGCACATTTCACATATGGAAAGAACACACCTAGGAAGCAGTCAGGTTTGAGAGCTCACCTCCCTCCCCATCTTTTTCTCCTTCCTCTGTGCTTACCAGGGATACAGAGCATTAACAGCCCTAGGAGCTCAGCAGGGCACCTCATTTTTAGGAATTGACCTGAGGAGTCCTGATCAGTCAAGGCAAGATTGAGCTGAGTTTTTATCTGAGACTTGCAGGGAAGAGCCTCCCTAGGGAGCAATATGCAAATCCATTTATGGGTGCAGTGGTGTGAGAAAAACTGACGGTGAGGTGGAAAAAGAGGCAACAGAAGGGTGGGGCTTCTGTGAGAAAAGTTACATAATATACTTATGCTTTAAACAAAAGTAAGAGGCATCAATGTTTCACTGGCAGGAGAAAAGACATAACTAATGTTTCCTCTTTTCTTTTTCCTGCTTTCCAGTCCTTCAACATATTCCCAGGTACTTTACAAACTCTTCATTATTAATGTTGAACTCTCTCACATGTGTATTTGGTGACTACTGCTTCTTTTATAAAAAATTTAAGAGCTAATATTTGGTCTTTTTATTTGTTAATTAAGATTAAACATGAATAGTATGAAAGGCAGATGTAGCAAATGTATAATTAGTACAGGTTCCATACATCCATTATCCAGATAAAACTGTAGAATATTTTAAATCCCCAGGTGCCTCAATCATATCCTCCCTATAACTTCTAACGTTCTTTCAGAGCTCTGCCAGAGTAGTTTAGGTTTTCCTATAATTAAGCATCATATAAGCTGAGGAAAGTACTTTTTTTTTGTTTTACCTTTCTCTTATATTGAAACTACTTTTGAAGCTTAATTTTTCATTGATTCACTTCACTGTCTACTCTCCTTTTCTTTGATTTTGATGTATTCCTCTTGAATTTCTTTAATGGCATGCCTACAAAATACAATTTATCTTCATTTGTTTCTGTAAGATAATATTTTCATGTTAAGTTTACTTTTAAATGTTGCATCAGGATGGAAGATGGCTGATTACAGACTGTACCACATTCTGTGACTCCACAAATCAAAAATAAAACCTCAGTTACATGGCTATTAGATAGGCAGGAAAGTTAGTACAGTGCATGGAGGGAGGGAAGAGCACCCATAAAAGATTGCACAGAGAAAAATTAAAAGTAAACAACAAATTATAGATTTATAAAACAAAGACATTAAAAAGCATACCTGGGGCCCATCTTGATTTGATGGAATAAGCACCTGGTGGCATTGTCTCTGGCATGATGTGGGAGAACACACTTTCCTGTGAATGTCAGATCCCTAAGAACACCTCTCAGCCCATTGCATACAAATTAACACATCTACACAGTAAGTAATTTCAGAAGAGTATGCTGATCAAAGGCCTATACACATGAGACAGTTTCAGGGTCGGGGAAGCTGCTCCATGCAGTTAGCTTGTGTATGGTGCAGCATGGGACAAATGGAGCAGGCACCCTTCTAAGAACACCACCTAGACCCAGAGATTCCAGAACATCAGCACCACCCACCATGGTAACACATCTACTTATGAAGGACTTTCAGTAAACTGAGCTAACCAAAGGCTTATATACCTGCAACTGGACAGGAGTTAGGAATAGCAACAGGTAAATTGAGACAGAATGCTTAAGACCAAACATTGGAGGAGTGCATCCACTGAGCTGAGAGAGACCGGTAGGCAGATATTCTACATGCTTTTCCTCAACAAAGAAGAACTGACTTTTATTATGATCTTTTTATTTGTCTCTTTTGTACTTTTATATCTATTTTAATATCTTTAATTTCTTTTTCATATACTTTCTTATTGTTGCTTTAGTCTACATCCTGCATTTATTATTCTTAATTTCTCTGTCATTATAATTCTTGACTATAATATTCTTCTCTAAAGCAATAGAGATATATTCCTGCACATTATTATTTTTTTACCTCAAGCCCACATACTTTATACCTTTTCACCACATTCTTTCTTCCCTTATTTGTCAGTTCCCTTCGTTTTACTACATAATTTTTAACTCCAACCAAAATAATATTTCACCACACACCTATTTTACTGTGGAGAATGGATTATGAAAAGCCTATGAGGACTGGATGTAAGTAAGGTGAGATGCACCTTAATTATTTTTACCTGTAGGCCAAGATAGGCACAGCCCCAGCCACAAAACAGAAAAAAGCAGAACATCTGTGTCTCCTAAGTCTATCTATGTTCAGAGAAGCAGAAATTCAGGTTTCTCCTGTTACAATATCACACCCCTCCCCGAGAGCCACTCCTCCACCCTGTTTGCCCCTGTTTATAAAAGAAGCACTGAAGGAGGACATGAGTTTTTTGGAGGCCTTTGGCTTGGGCTTTGGCTTTTGGCCTTTTGCTTTTGGCTTTTTGGTGTGGGAAGCTTTTGGAAGGGAAAAGAATTACTGAAGCGAACAGAATTGCTAAAGGGAAATTTCTGAATGGAAAAGAATGGCTAAAGAGGGGTTGATAGAAAGTCTGTACTGAGAAGGCCTTAGAAAAACTAATCTAAAGAAATAACATTATACATAAGCCTTAGAAAAACTAATCTAAAGAAAGAGCTTCATACATAGGCCTTAGAAAAGCTAAGCTAAAGAACAGCCAAAGCATGGGACAGTGCAAGATAGAGGACCAAGACTTTGAGTTATGCATATGCAGGTTTTAGGCTTGGCTGTTATTGTTTGCAAGCTGTTTGCAAGTCTGAGCACTGAGGCTTTAAGAAAGCTAAAGGGAGATGGGACAGTGCAAGCCTGAGGGCAAAAGACTTTAAGAGCAATTATGCTAAGGAGCAGATAAGAGAAAACTCAGGACAGTGTGAATCTAAGGAAAGTGGCTTAAGCAAGGTTTTAGAGAAGACTTCAGAAGCAAGGTTTTTAAAGAAGTGCAGAGGAGTAAGTCCTTAAAAAATAAAGATAGAAAGAAGCAATGAGGGTTGGGTGTGTCCACCCAAACATCTATCACACCTGACCCCACTTTCTTTCTGTCTGTCTATCCTGTGTCTTTTCTGAGCCTCCAGTTTCCCCCAGTTGAGCTCAGTTAGGTTCAGTAATAACCAAGAGTGAGAGAATGCTCACTCCAGCAAGGGAGGGAGTGAGAAAAACACCTCCCTCCATTTTTCTATATAATCATGCTAGTTCTATTAATATATAACATGATTGGTTGTATAGATGATGTTACTAAAGATTTATTATGTCATGAAAATATCTGATTTGTTATTGAATTGGTGAATTTGTTATTCCTGAGTTCTATTCCCAGGTCAGGGGTGAGAAAAGTCATATCAACTCTGCCATTATCCAGTCCTGCCCGCTAAAAGGGGATTTCAATAAACATAGTAAGTCTGTGAAAAAATAAAATTTGAACTCTGGAAATGAAAAGCTCCTAAAGCCAAAAAAAGTTGAAAAAAATCCAGAAGACTGTATCAAAATCTAGTATACTGTATCTACTTTGCTTGAACACAAAGTAGATATAATAGAAAAATCAGGTGAAGATAAAGAAAAAAATCATAAAGAAATGTGAATAGAACATGCAGAACCTCTGTGACTCCATTAACAGACTAAACATACAAATTATAGGCATTGAAGAAGAGATGCAAACCAAAGGAATAGGAAATATTTAACAAAGTAATACCAGGAAAATCCCCAAATCTTGAGAAAATGATGCCCATCCAGTTAAAATACTCCATTAGGAGTCCAAACAGAAATGACCAAAACAGAACCTCTCCACAGCATATTATAGTTAAGACATTAATTACAGATAACAAGAAAAGAATACTGAAAGCTGCAAAAGAAAAACACAAAGTCACCTATAAAAACAAATCCATCAGAATAACAGTAAATTTCTCAACAGAAAATTTAAAAGCAAGGAGGGCATGGAATGAGTTACTGCAATTGCTGAAAGAAAATAACTGCCAACCTAAATCAATATACCCAGAAAAGCTATAATTCATAACTGATGGAATAATAAAAAATGTTTATTATTTTAAAAAAACAAGACCCAACCATTTGTTGCCTAAAAGAAACATATCTCACATATCTCACTGACACAAACAAATATTGGCTTAAGGTGAAAGGGTAGAAAAAAGATTTTCCAAGCAAATTGACCAGAAAACATGCAGTAGAAGCTATCCTCATACCTTATAAAGTAGACTTTAAGCCAAAATTAATCAGAAGAAGCAAAGAAATGTCACATCATAGTAATAGAGGTAAAAATAAAGAGGAAATCAGCTGGGTGCAGGTGGTTCATGCCTATAATCCTAGCTACTCAGTAGGCAGATATCAGGAGGATCACATTTCAAAGCCAGCTCAGGCAAATAGTTCATGAGACATTATCTCAAAAAAGTGTATCACAAAAAGTTGGCCTGGTGAAGTGGCTCAAGATGAAGGCTCTGAATTCAAGGCCCAGTGTGGCAAAAAAAAAGAAAAGAAAAAAAATGAAATCACAAGTGTTACCAATTATTAACATATTTGTGCCAAATGTTGGTGCACCCAACATCATTAAATAAGCACTACTGGACTTAAAACTACAGAAAGATCCCAACACAATGACAGTGGAAGACTTCATTGACCCAATATCACTAAGTAGATATGTTATCTAGACAAAATCATCAAAGAAAACTTGGAATTAAAACAATAAACCAAACCTTTCTAAGAGATACCTACAGAGTATTTAATCCAGCATTTGGATAATATGCATTCTTCTCAGCAGCTCAAGGAAGTTTTCCAAAATACATCATAACTTAGGATCCAATTCAAGCCACAGAAAATAGAAGAAAGTTGAAATAGCACCTGATTTATATCAGATCGTAATGTAATATAACTAGAACTCAACAACAAAAAAGATTACAAAAAGTATTCAAACACCTGAAAGTTGAACAGCATAGTATTGAATGATCAATAAGTCATTGAAGAAATAAGGGGAGAAATCAAGAAGTTTCTAGAATCTAATGAAAATGATCACACAATCAACCAGATCCCATGGGATGTAGAAAAGGCAGTGCCAAGAGCAGAGTTTATAGCTAAGCATGCCTACATCAAAAAAAAAAGAAAAGAAAAAGAAGAAAGATCTCAAATAAATAGCCTAATGATGCACCTAAACTCCTAGAATAACTAGAGCTAACCAAACCCAAAATTAGGAGACT